TCTGGGGTTTGTTTGATGTTGAAATTTTCTTTTTTGGACAATTTAAAAAGTGATATGATTTGACATTGGTATTAGATATTGAGATGACAATGTTTTTGGGTAAAATCAAGCCATCTTATACAATATACAGACCACTCCAATAGCTAAAATACATATCTAACAAAATATCAAACCTTCCCATTCGGTGTAGTCCATCTTATACAATATACATACTCCCTAGACGGTAATAGTGAAGTGCATGACATATACGCTCTCCTTTGTAAAGGTTAACCAACTTTGACTTAGTATATAAAATAAATAAAGTAAAAATTGTATGATTGCAATTTGTATATAAAAAGAGAGAATAATATGAAACATGTATTTATTATTTTAAAATGAAATGATAAATTCTTTTAGAACAATCAAATTCGGACTACATAGTACATAGTAAGGAAAAATGACAAATATTACGTTGTTGTTGTTGGTGTGGTTGTTGTTGATGTTGCTGTTGTTGTTGTTGCTGCTGTTGCCTCAAAAGTAGCGTGATCATTTATTATTAACATTTGTCACATGAGCAAAGGACAAGAAATCATTCAAATATCTGGGTGATAACCTCATACTCCGTCATTCATGCTAACAAAAGTTGACTACTTTTAATGAAGTCTTAACAATAATCATGTCAAAAAAAAAGTCTTCACAATAATCGAAACTTAAATTTATATAATATCGCACACTACTTGTATTAATTTATTTACTTAAAGTATCATAAATCGAAAGGAAAATGTACCATTTCACTACTCGTATCTCATTTTTCTCACTTAAACCCAGTTAAAAAATATCATCATATATACTTAAGCCCATTTGATGGAACAATGGATCACATCCATGGCCCAAGATTGAATTAAAGCAAAGCCATCAACGGGATCAACCCATCTATGGGATCAGCACTTAACGAGATCAGACTAATTCAATGTTCTAAAAGGCGCTAGGCGCTAGTCGGGCGCCAGCCCAGCGCCTAGCGCCTAGGCGGCTAGGCGGGCGCCTAGTCGGGGACTACCCGGAATATAGAAATTGCATTTTTATCTATATTTTTGCATAAATATGATAAGTAATATTATATTCTTATGTGAATAAAATACATTTACACACATACATTAACAAACATGAATGATAGAATTATCACATTTAATCATACATAGTATATGATAACTAAACACTTAACTTCATTATGTTATAAATATAATAATAATAAAATTTAGGTATATACAAACATATATAGTCTTTATCTTAATTTACAATTTCTTTTCTCTATATTTGTGGCTAAAGTTAAAGTACTTATATCGCTTAGAAAATTAAAATTGAAAAGTAAAGTAATTAATGTTCGGCGAATCTAGACGGCCTAGGCGGCCGATTAAGCGCTCTGGGCGGACAACTAGGCGCCATAGGCGGCCGACTATTTCACCTAGACGGCAAACCAATTAGTCGGAGCGCCTAGACGAAAATCGGGGCGCCCGACCACCGCCTAGCGCCTAGGCGGGGACTAGTCGGACGCCTAGAACGATTTTTAGAACAGAGGACTAATTAACAGGATTAGCCCATAAACGGGAGTAATATCGAACGAGCCAATGCACCCATTGGGAATCAGGCCCACGGTAGGAACCCACAGCCAGACCAGGCTGGACAACAGACCTCGAGCCTAGGCAGAGTTCTAGTGAAGCCGGGATATTCTTGAGGTGTACGTGGCAAGGTACCATTCGATATAGATATTTGGCAACAAAGGAGTTCGTGGACAAGAAGGAGATAGTTATTGCGTAAGAATCACGCACAGAAGGAGTTCTATTTTGAGCTAATTCATTAATTAGCATTTATTGTATTAGATTTCACCCATAATTCTACCTCCTAATCTCTATAAATACTTCATGTAAATACCCTACCAAGGGATGGAGAATTGGATTTCCGGAATAAGAGTAATACTGCCTTACGCTGCCATATTATTTTCAATATTATTTCTATACTTTGCGTATATTTAGCTCTCGTAGTTGGATTAAACTCCATCACCATTTAATGATCATATTTTTCAACTAGTCTACTTTATTAACTAACTTTTTCATTAAATATGTATTTTTTGATTTCGCAAAATTTCCTTGTAACGAAGCGGCAATGGCACATAAAACAATTGTTAAAAAATTATTTCTATGAACTATGAGATTCTTTTTCGATCCTCTTGTGAGGGATTCCCTCAACAAAATGGTCAAGTCGAACAGAATTACAGAAACATCGTCACATCTTAATTTTGCCCAGACTTTGGACTGCCAGGGATAGTTACATATTTATTTCAGGGATATGTATTCTCACTGCCGTCCATTCGTCCATCTAATCAACTGCATGCCCTCCACCGTGCTTTACCAAAAAACACCGTGACATTTTATACGGTAGTTTATCAAAATATAAACTCTTCATATCTTGGTATTGTGTATCAATAATTTCAATAATATCAACAGTTACATTTTAAGATAAGGGACATGTTGCTTTTGTAATTGCTTTCAAATACTACCTCCGTCCCATTTATATTGGGACGGAAGAGGGTGACACGGTTATTAAGAAAAGTGGGTTTGTGTGGTTAATATTAATTGATGAAGTAAGAATAAAGTAAGAATGATTTAGAGCCACACAAACTTTGCCAAATTAAATATGGTATGAGACAATTTAAGTGGGACTTCCCGAAAAGGTAAAACGGGACGATATAAATGGGATGGAGGGAGTACACAGTTTGTGATCAAATTATTCACTTAACCGCTTTTTTTAATGGAAATTTGTATAACTCAAAATAAAATTAAATCAAGGCCGGACTCAGGAGTCCCAACTCCAAGTCTTCGTGACCATTGCCATAATTGATGATATATAAGTGATCCTATAAAGATTGAAAACATAATTTATAAGTGGAGAAACATGCTACTAAGTCTAAGGACATGTTTACTTCATGGGTTATTATCGGTGCTTATTAAGACTCGCGTTAATAAATGATTAAGCGGCGAATCAAATTAGTGGTGTTGTAAGCTTATGTTTACTTCAAAGGATTTAAAACACCGTTAACATTTAAATGTCCAAAATAACTCTATACATATATACACACACAAACATTCATAAACACAAGTATGTAATATAATAAGTGGGGGTCACCTCGTACGCGTACCCCTAACCTTAGTTTTAAAAGGCACGAGGCGGCATGAGGCGATTCATCAATTTACCCGAGGCGCGAGGCGCGAGGCGCGAGGTGACGAGGCGCGCGCCTCACTGAACTAAACCACATATCTTTGGTAAAATATATTTATACAACTTCTGCATGAAGTACTCTCCTAAAAAATACTTCTACTAATAGTAAATTTAATTACAATAAACTGTTAATACTTACTATTAATCCTAAGCAATTAATAGTAAATTTTTAAATAAACTTTTATATAAAGATTATTAATAACAAGAGTATATAATTGACTTTTACAATAGTAAATTTTTAAATAAACTTTTATATTAGTCATATATAATTGACTAATTGTTACTCCGTATATAATAAACTTATAAAGTATCAAGAGTATAAAGTTAAACAATCAGATTCAAAGATTTGACAAACCATATTTATTATTTTTTAAAATTGATAAAATTCCGATTGGGATTAGGGAAGATTGTTATATGGTTATATATTTACATATTTTGAATTATTTTATTTATTTAAAAAATAAAAATATAAAGAATACAAAGACTAGATGAAGAAAGACAACAAAGAGAACGTAAGGAAGAAACGTACGCAGCTGAACAAAAAAAACAAAGAGAACGGAAGATATTCCATAAGGCGTGAATCGCCAAAAGGCTTGAAGAAGTTCAGCGGACATATTCCATAAGGCGTGAAAGGCGACGCCTCAAAGAGGCGCAAAAGGCGGCACTAGGCGAGGTAAAAGGCGCACCTTATGGACTCTGCTCCGCCAGGGATGTTTGGATGCGATGAAGTTATCGCCCAGAGGCGCCTCTCGCCTTTTTGCGCCTCAGGCGCGCTTTTTTAAACCAAGCCCTAACACCTACCCGTACCCCCACTCCTACCCTACACCCCCAATTCCTTGACCCCTTCCCTACCCCCTACCCTTACCATGACCTTACCCTGCTACCCCTACTCCCCTACAACCCTCATACCCATACTCCTAACCCTTACCCTACCTACTCGTAGGGATGAGGTCGGGGTGGGGTCGAGGTAGGGGGAGGTGGTATGAGGTAAAAGGGTAGGGTAAGGTGGGGTAGGGTCGAGGTAGGGGCAGGTGACAGGGTGAAAGGGGTGGGTGGTAAGGGTTAGGATTGGGGTAGGGTCGAGATAGGGGCATGTGATAGGGGAAAAAGGGTAGGGTGGGAGGGGTGGGGTAGGATGGGGTAGGGTTGGGGGTCAGGTCGGGGTGGGGTCAAGGTAGGGGTTGAAGGGGTAGGGTCGGGGTAGGCTAAAAGGGTACGATTAGGTGGGATTGAGTAAGGGGGTATGATCGGGGGTAGGGGTGAGGTCATGGTGGGGTCAAGGTAGGGGCAGGTGGTAGGGGTAAAGGGGTAAAGGGGTAAAGGGGTAGGGTCTGGGTAGGGTAAAGGGATACGAGTGGGTTGAGTGGGGTGGGTTAGGGGTAGGGGACTCGGGGTGGGTAGAAATGTAGCGGGTAGAGGGGTGGCAATAGGGTTAGGGAAAGGGGTAAGTGTAATGGTAACTTCGGAAACTGAAAAAGTTTAAAGTGCCGCTTAAATAATACATGGGGGTGGTATGATTAGTAAGCGGCACTTTAGGCACCTCTTTCAGTTAGTAAGCAGCTTGCGTGTTTATTTCAGCTGTCTTACTAACCTAACTATGACTTTAGCAGAGGATGTGACTGTATTTCATCAGAGATATCAGAACAGGGACAATCCACACGGGTTCCAAACTAGGGCGTCTCACACAACTTTCAGAGCAGGATCCTCAGACGTGCATGCAGGTAGGCGCATCTCTTGTTCCTCAAAAGGGCAACTGCAAACCAGAGGATTTAGGTGCGGTCCAAATCACTCACGGAGCTTTTTTATTTCCTCTATTAAAATTGAAAGTAAAATCTTTCTTTTCAACTTGCATGGATCATTCTAAACTACGCATAAGTCAAATTAAGGATAATTTTTCTAGACTCATTTCACTAGATGAGGAAGAAGTTTCTTGGCTATGTAATTATTTGCTTCTAATCCTATCTGGGACTAAGCTACTTGGGCATTCACCAAGTTTGAGAAGACTCACAAACTTTATCTCACCTTGGAGCAAAATCAATTTGGAGAGTTTTTGTGTTTGGTTGATATGGGCAGTTGGGGACAAACAACTATTATCATTCCTATGGGATGGAGCGGAGCTGGACTCGGACGTTTTTCCTTGGCTGTAATGAAACAACGTGAAAAGCTCAAAGATTTTAAGCAGGGACAATTCAAGAAGCCTTCAGAGGACCTTGGGGTTATTTGTAAGGATTCAGCGGAATCCTTACTAGAAGACAATGTGTCAATCTCCTCATTATTATTTAATGAGGATTTATTCAATTTTGGGTTTAATGCTGCATCTAAATGTTCCTCGAGGGATATTGTCTAGCTTGCCACAAAAAATGCACAAGAGATCACTACTGCTACCAAGGAGTTTGACGTTCATGGAGAGAGTATTCTAGAGATATCTCCTCTTCAAGTTTCTTTTCCATCTCAGCATAGTGCATCCCTTATCAAGGGTGGATTTGGTTCTCCTCGGTCTGGATCGTCTTCAGGCTCACAAATGTCTAGTGATGAGTTAATAGGCACGCCAGCTCAAAGATCACTTTTTGATCGAGAGTTACTAGATCGCTTAGTTGATACTGAATGGGAGATCACTTTTTGATCAAGAGTTACTAGACTGCTTAGTTGATACTGAATGGTGTGCAGCCAACTCTTGATGGCTTCCTAGGAGGAGTGCTCGAATTAAGGCAAAAAAATTGGCTAAACAATAGAGCGGGCCTCTTAGGGTTATTTTATAATGGCTGATTTGGAGGGATGTCAAATCTTGTTTTTGGGCTCCTGAAAGAAGCTTGACGGGTGTTTCTAGGCCGTTCATGGTGTGTTAGGGATGATGGTCAATTTGGATGGAATTTTCATTGAACCGGTTTCGTATTTGGAGGTTTCTTTTGGGCACTTGGGGCTTTGGTGGGTTACTAGAGGAGGGAGCTTTTCATTTTTATTTTCTTATTTGCATTTGTTTTTCATTAGCGCCTTCGTTACATTAGCTTTTATTATTCTTTAACTTTAAAAAAACTATGACTAAGCATCGAAATAAACACCTCCTAAGTCTTGTTTAATATTTTTATTCGATTATATTTTTATTTTATGAGCTCACAAGGTATGCCACATCTAGCTATTGTGAAAAAACTGAAGTTAGTTGTACACAAAGTTTTGATGCGAAGACAAAGTTCTGATGCGAAGACGTGAAGTTATCAATAAAAACCTATGTTGTAAGGATGTTATCTTTTGGATTGATTCAGTCCCAAATTGGACCACAAGATCAGACTTCCGTAGTTACAAAATACACAGAGACCAGACATTACCATATTAAACTAGTTCATACCAAACCAGAGCATACCAACAAATTTTAGTCCAAAAGAAAACATCCTAATTCCAAATTTAGAGGTCGCACAATAATACAGAAATTAGGTGAATAAGCTGAATTTGCTGAAATCTGTGAAAATTGTGTTTAAATTATATTTTATTAATGAAATATAGCAAAAATTATATTAAAACAATTAAAATGATCATCTACTGTTACTTCTATCAATTCGGTCATAAAAATAAATCTAACCTTATGTTTTTGTTATTACACAATTTAATGGGATAACCAAAACTACATACAGAATATTTCATAAAAAATTGACCAATAAGGATATGGAGATGAAAATGAAGAAACTCAAATCAATACAAATATTTGATGTTTTCACTTTTAAATCAAACCAGACTAGATCAGGCTAAAACAGATCATGCTTGAACCGTTATAAATATACAAAGATGAGACATTTAGTTGATCAAGAGATCCCGTTGATCAATTGAGATCTATGAAGCACATATACTTCACAAGAGTGCCGTATCGGCGTATTGGAAAAGTTCCCGTATTCGATACTCTAGGATACCCGTACCGTATCTGCAATTTTTAAAAGTTTCCATTTTTGTTGGTAATTATTTTAAAATTTCGGATACTCGTATCTTGACGGATACACATATCAACTTTTTTCAAAAAAAAAAAAACTTCCAAAAAAACTTTTTTTAAAACACAAAATTTACACAATAAAATTCTTAAAAAATGAAAAGCTATTTTTTTTACCTGGTAAACAACTAATGGGCCTATTCCTAATTTTCCTATCCCTAATTCTAATTATTCTTGGAAATTAATAGCCCCAACGGAAATATGTATAAAAACTTTTAAAATATTGTTTTCTATCTTCACTATTCTAGAACTTTGAATGCTTGTAGTTGTTTGACTTATTTCTCATTTTAAATAAATGACTTATTGACTATATTTATATTTTGAGGTTCAATAATGTACATGAAATAAAATATGAACTTATTTCTAAGAATCTTGAAAATGTAAAATGATTCAATGCCATGAATGAGTAGACGTCAGCGGATAATATGTTTTTTTTTTCAAAAAAAAAATTGTATTTTTAATATTTATAAATACACCATATTTTTTAATATTTATAAATACACCCTCATAACTTTTAATATTTATAAATATGGCTCTGTATCCGTATCTTACTTTTCTTTTTTACATTGTCGTATCCTCGTACTCGTTTCTGCGTTTTACATTTCCGCGCAAGATTGAGATCACACTAGAGTGAATAAAAAACATGGACCATTCTTGGTGTACACAACTTGTACACAAAATGTGTACATTGTCTATGTACACAGACAATTTGACATCAAATGCTGCCCCTTTTTAAATGAATTGCCTGTGTACACAGATAACTAGGGGGATTTTGTGTACAACTTGTGTACAACTCATGTACGAGGCTAACCATATTCCAAAAAACATTTCATTCAATCTAAGGGAGTGTTTGCAACAGCTTCTGCTTTAAAAAAAGCACTTTTGGAGTGATTTGGAAAAAGTGATTATTTGTAAAAGTTGATAGTGTTTGAGAAAAAAGTGATTTTGAAAAGTAAAAGTTGGTAGTGTTTGGTAAATAAGTGCTTTTGGTGTATAAAAAGTGGAAAAGCACTTTTGACACGAAAGCCGAGAAAAATAAAAAATTGGTAGTGTTTGGTAAATAAGTGTTTTTTTAAGCCAAAAGCTGAGAAGTGCTTTTTTTAAAGTGGTTGCAAACCAGCCTTAATACGGGTATGGAGTACTGGTAAAAAAACATGGGATTTGAGGTGATTTTCCTATCCGATGGAAGTGGACAGGGACCCATCGAAACATGAAATGATTATAGACGAGGAAAGGGTTTTTGGGTGATTGGAGAGAAGAGGAGAGAGAAGATGCAACGACACAGTTCCTGTGGCAATACGGAGTTTGTATGTATGTCGCCCTTTTTGAATTTCAGACGCGCTACCGTTGATATCAGCACGCCTTGTTTCCATGCCGATATCTTTTTCCTCCCCCATTTGCTCCCATCCATTTTCTTCTTCCCGCAATCTCTTCTTTTCCACTCATATTTGTCCTCTTCCTTTCCAGTAGTCAAATTCTTGAGAACCAACTGTTCAAATATATTTGGGTTTCCACTAACTTTTGCTTCTTGTCCTCCACACTTGAATCCCACTTACTGAAGAATCCCAAGCTGCTTTCTTTTTCTTTATTACTGCGGACCTCATAATTAACTAATCCGAAACCTGCAGGTAAGTCAGAGCTCTTGATTTCAGCAATGTGCTCCCTGAAATATTACCCAGTCAAGCAGTAAATGTTTTTTATCTGGGATTTCTCAATGAAAGATCACAGCTTTTTGACGGGATTTGTGTAGCTATATACACTATACTTTAGCGAGTTTGTTTTCGTAGGAGAATGGAAGCTCATTGTGAATATTTAATAAAATACTCCGTATATGTTTCTTTAAATGTCAGTGGTAAAGTTTAATTATTTTGCCGATCAGAGATTGTCGAGCTGATAATGAAAAAGGCATTAACTTGACCTTACTTTTTCTGATGAATATCTTTTTCTCTCTTTCTCTTACAAACTGTTGTTGTTCTTTGTAGATGATTTACTATTAATGCTTATACTAGAAACAGTCTTGTTTATTTTTCTGTTTACAGAGATAAATCGGATTTGTTAATGATACAATTTGGCATTGAAATAATATTGTCCTATATTTAGAGTCATTTGGTAAGACTTAAATTGACTAAATCAGATGAAACTAAAATAGTTCTCCTCAATCATTTTAGCCAGAAAAGCAACTCCAATTTTACTTATGTTAATTATTTTACAATTCAAAGCACAAAAATCAGTGTTTTCTAACAAAAACTTACAAGCTGAAAAATTATATTACCAAATGGGCTCTTAGTTGTAAGAATTGGAAGTTATTGCTAATTTGAAATGGTAGTTGCAGGAAAAGGACATTATACCATTTACCACTACTTCATGGAGACAATAACTGCTACTGCAATGCCCTATCCGAGAGAGCCTGCTAATTATGAAGAGGTAGCAATGCAGCAAAGTGTCCTGTTTGCTGACAGCCTTAAGGTATTTACATGTTGCAGGTTATTGTTTGTAGAAGTTGTATAACAGAATTGACCACTCTATTCGTTGTTTTAATCATAAATAGAAATTAGAATACCCAGGGGTTTATATATAACAGATGAGTCCATTGAATACAAAAGTGAATATGATAAGAAAAATATATTCATTATTTTTCAATGAAAAAAACCAAGTATGATCCTAATAATGTTGTGCAGTTAAGAGTTTGTTTGGTAAGAGTACTTGACTGGAAGGGTAGTTGTTTGGTAAATTTGTTTCAGCCAAATAATATGTCAAAGCCTACTTGTACATAGACAGAATAAGCCAATAAGTGCTACCAAACAGGACCTAAAACAGCATATGACTGTGAGAGACAATTTGATTGTAATAACTAAAAGAAAAGAGTTTCTATTTCAGGACTTGAAGGATCTCAGAAAGCAGCTGTACTCTGCAGCTGAGTACTTTGAGTCAACCTACTTCAATGATAATGAAAAAGAAACGTGAGTGAAGTCATTAGTTTTATACTTCAAACAAGAAAAACAAAATCCTCTACTCTTGTACTTTGTTTAGGCTCTAGAGCTTTTCTTACATTCACTAAGTTTTTGTTTTTGATTCATACAGAGTTGTAAATACATTGAAAGATTATGCCATAAAAGCGCTTTTGAACACTGTGGATCATTTGGGCTCTATGACAAATAAGGTTAATGATCTTTTAGTTGAAAAAGTAGATAAAGTTTCCGAAACCGAACTTCGTATGTCTTGCATTAAGCAGGTAATAATAGTTGTGTACTTCTATACAATTTGATGTCAAAGAAAAATATAAAAATGGGAAAGTTCTTGAACAAAGTTTTTGTTATGTATGTTCAGAGATTAAGGTCATGCCAGGAGCATATAGATCACGAGGGTCTTTCACAGCAACAGTTACAGATAAACACTCCCAAGCACCATAGAAGGTACATCTTCCCAGGTAATTGAATCCTATCAGGATAAGACTTGAAGCATCCAAAAATAGTCAGTTTGCTCCTTATTGAGGCTCAACCATGTCAAACTGCCATAAATGTTAATTTCTGTTTCTATATTTTGCTCGTCTAACATCATTGATTTTCTTAGTTGGTGGAGCTCTGCGTGGTCTTGATGCTGAAGATGACTGGTCTCAGTTTCGAAATGGTAACAAGCCGGAGTTTTTCTTTCGACACACACAAAGTGAACCTCACTTTAACATTAAAAAGGATAATGAACTTATAATTTTCTGCAGCTGTTCGAGCAACAATCACAGAAACCCCCCCTGCAGTTGGAAATGGGAGCTCTTCAACTCCTACTCCAAGACTTACTCAAGAATCTCGCGATCTCTCATTGTTAAAGACCGAGTCTAAACGAGATTTAGGTATTTTCCCCATCTCATGCATTGCCATTACCTTCACTCTCCTTTTCTTATCTTATGTTCCTATTTAGACCATTTTTAAAATATTCTTTAGACGCTAGTCAGACCCATAGATAGTAGGGTTCCTAATCCATTGCGCAGTGCCTAGGGGCCCATAGAGACCATTATTAACACCAATATTTGAAGCCATGGTTTAAAAGTTTGTTTGCTAAAATAAAAGTGACATGATGTGTGGCATGAAACACTCTTATGAACTATTTAAAACTCATCTGTCCAACAATGCTTTCAAACCACATTTACCTATACTTTTAGTTGAGTCATTTGATATTTATTTGAAGAACAAATAACCAGTTTGTTGGTATCCTTAAATTTGATGCTATTAGTTACCCATATGTAATTGTTCCCGAGTAGGCTTTGGTTCGATCCTCCTACTCATTGTATTTTCCTTTTCTCAAATAAACAGGTAGGGTGTTCCCTGGCCCCTACCCCAAATGCCTTTATGGTTTTTGATTTAACACCAGGTAAAAAAAATTGAAGAACATTTTAGCAGCACCTCCAGACACAAAGTGGCTACATTCAAAGCATTTTACTATCTTAAATTACCAAATAGGCATTTTGCCATTCCACAATTCATTCATATTTCAACATTTTTATATGGTAACAGTAATATCAAACTGACTCTTTGTTTTGTGTGTTTTTAAAGGATCAGAGAAGCGGACAGTGTCGCCACACCGATTTCCGCTTTTGCGAACAGCATCCCTTGCCAGAAGGTCCACCACACCTAAAAGATCTCACTCAACAACCCCAAAGAGCTCCCAGCCAACCACCCCAAACTCAAGCCAACCAACCACTCCAAACCCTAGACGGCTGGTAAGTCTTGATCTTCCCTTTGTTTATATATTGCTTCTGCTATTACCGTGCATCTTTTAAGAACAGGCACTCCCTTGGCTCTGTGTGGTACCCATAATAAATTAATTCAGCAGAATGAAAATGCCCTAGGAATTGTTGTAAAAGTGGAGTTGTGTGGTTATTAATTTGGTTAAGCTTGAATAAAGTAAAATCAAATTGCAACCATCTAATATTACCAAATATGATATGATACAAACTTAGTAGAACAAATTAAAAAGGTAAAATGAGACAGCAGGGGACGGAAGGAGAAATTGATTATTTCAACTATCGATTACAATCAAAGCTAAACCAGCTTCTGATCGGCTCGAGTTTGTTGAAAAGTTTTTTGGAAAAAATATTTTTCTTTAGTCGCAGCAGTAATTTGACTAGTTGACTTTTGCATGGTAAAATAGTTATGGAATCTGCTAAAAGAAAAATAAGTTGTTGGTAAGGTACAAATTGGCAACTTATCTACAGACTACAGCTGAAATTTCTACCAAAACAGCTTTTTTGAACTTTTATCAATTATTCCAATTTCCAAACATGTTGGTTTTAAAAGAAACAACATTTCTTCAACTATAATACAAAGTGTATTATTCCAAACATGTTGATTTTAGAAACTCAGCATAGATGCACACAGACAGCTGAAATGCTGGTTCTCAAAATAGAATAATAAGTAGCTTTTGACTAGCTTATTTAGCTGTAGTGAATGTTATCAAAATTTCTTTTTAGACAAAAAAGGCACTTTAGTAACCTCAGCCAAATAAATCTAGCCAAACAGGCACTTATACTGGAGGTAAAATCTGTCAATATTTATTCAAATATTTGGATTTTGATACCTTTATCATCGTTGGGTGAAACAGTATCCTTCAGAGCCTCTGAAATCAGCTTCAATGCGGCTCCACACAGACAGGGAAACACACCGAGATCCTCAAGATCAGCAACCCACCGGTAAAAGCAAGCGTCTTCTTAAAGCTTTGCTCAGCAGGCGTAAGTCAAAGAAAGATGAAACACTATATACCTACATAGATGAGTATTAATGTTCATAGTTCCTCACCCCAGTTTTGCATGATTTTCGCAGCAGTATTCGTTATATTTACTGGAGTACTTTATTCCCCAAATTGCGCAAAAGCAATGTTACTTGTTCTTGATAAGTTGATACAACTCTTATATGAGACTACATATGAGATACTACTTTTGTCCAAATTTAATGGTAACATTTGTTTGGGCTTGTAGATTATGAAAGTAATACGGAGTATCATTTCCTAATTTCTATTCTAGCAATGATATTCGGTCATTGCCAAAAAAAGGAGTATACTCGGTCATACTTGTAGATTATGAAAGTGACTTGTATGATCGTTTACCTTATTTCTACTTTATTACTACTATATAATTTGGGCAATGGATACTTATTTATCATATTGTAAATGAATGAGGAAATTAGTTCTGCACATAAGAACTGTATCTACAATGTAGACATATTTTCATCTGAATTTCAGATTCTGAAATATTGACTACACTGTCCCAAAATTACAAAAAGGGAAAACTGTCAAATAGGTCCTCGAACTTTCATAAAAAAGTCAATTAAGTCCTTTTATAGAAGACTCTGTCTGGTTGTCGCGATTTGGGGCGGTTCCCAGTGGATTTTTTTGATGAAATTTTTTGAGCATCTTATTCATCAAGTCTAGGTTACTCATACAAAATTTCAGCTAAAAATTCAATCGGGAGCGCATTCAAATTAATTCGAGAACGCAAAAATGCGCAGTTATCTTCAAGAATTAATTTGAATGTGTTCCCGATTGAATTTTTAGCTGAAATTTGGTATGAGTAAACTAGACTTGTTGAATAAGATGCTCAAAAAATTTCATCAAAAAAATCCACCGGGAACTGCCCCAAATCGCGACGGCCGGACAGAACCTCCTATAGAAGGACTTAATTGACTTTTTTATGAAAGTTCGAGGACCTATTTGACTGTTTTCCCTTACAAAAAAAAGGACATAATAATGAGAAGGTAATGTTTAATAAACCTTATAAATTAATTGTGACACGTAAATCTATTACATATAAAAATATTAAGATGTAGTAATTGAATAGATATGATTAAGTGGACAATTTAGAATTTAGTTAATGCAATTTGGCATTCTAAAATTTAAATAAAATGGTCATGTGATAATCAATTCACAGAATCTCCAATTTCACCTATAATGTTTACAAACTTTGTCAATTTTTGAGGCATTACTAAATACAGCCACTTAGTTTCCAATGTCTGGTTAAACAAAGGTAAAATAAGTTTTATGCAAAATGTACATCCTTCATCCGCATATCTGTATCTTGCAAAGCAAAATGGATAGACCTGCAATATACAAAAACTTTGAAGAACTCATATGACTACCTTTATAGAATGGAGATTATTATGCCACCTATATGTCAGTGATTCAGTGAACATCTTTTGCTATGTTGTTCAAGTGCTAGAAACATGGGGAATTGTAAAAATTGAAAGGGGGAATAAATATTGGGAAAATGGAAACTAATAATCCAACTTTTTAGCGATCTTCTTTTAATAGTCCGACCTTTGCGTTATTCATGAATAATCCAACCTTTGCACCTCATCTTCATTCATTGGTCCCCGACCGGTACATGACCTGCTATTCCGAGTTATTTTCTTATCTTTGCAAACTATTATACCATAAATTTCACCTTTCACAAAGACAATATTTTACAAAGATAAGAAAATAACTCGGAATAGCATGTCATCAACCAGTCAGGGACCAGTGAATGAAGATGAGGTGCAAAAGTTGAATTATTCATGAATAACGAAAAGGTGGGACTATTAAAAGAAGACCGCTAAAGGGTTGGATTATTAGTTTCCATTTTCTCATAAATATTTGGGAAGTATTACTAAATAAAATTGGTCTGGTGAGCAAAGAAGCCATTGTGAAAAATAAAAGCACACACGCCCGGACAGGGTCACCTCTTTTGCAAACGATATTCCTTTCCATAAGGTCCAGAGGTCGGAAAAATAATAAATATCGATATAACCAAATTTGCTACTATGTATAACCACATATAAAAAAATTGCACATGGAATTTCGGTATATCAAAGTTTAAAATTTGCTGTGCTTGAATTTCACTATACCGTAATTTTGGTATGATTCGGTATATACTTTGTGTCATACTGAGATTTCGATATACCAAATTTCGGTATATATAAACTTTCGATATGGTAATAGTACTATATTTTCCTTACAAAAAGAATCCCCACACACCGTGCCAAACCATTCCTATTAAAGTTCCACCTCGCCTAAAAATATTCTGCCAATAGTCTCAAATTCAGGCTGGGCAACCACTCCATGCCTTAGAGGACTGGTAAAATGGATCATCTATCACTTCCTACGCATATTGAATCTACTATCCTTTCTTTACTTGTTGAGTAATAAAAAAAAAATCAGGCTGCGTTTGGTAGCCCTAATTGGCTAATTGCCTAATCATTATATCCTGCATGGCTACATATTAGCAGGGTCATTTGCGTTTATATAAACTTGCTTGTTTGGCCAAAGGCTTTTCGTTTCATAAAATCCAATACATTCACCCATTTCCACCAAAATAACCCTTATACGTGACTGAAATCTCTTAATATTTGTTTAATCACTTGGTGTTTCATAGGCCAATGTGATTCAATCATGGTGGTGAAACAGTACCATGCTAGATCGATCGGAAAACGCAAAATCCTTGAAGCTTTGGTCAGTTAGTTAGCTCAAGTCAAAGAAGGATGAAACACCATATACCTAAATCAGTAAGTATTAATGCCACACTGCAAAAACGGGCATAGAAGATGGACCAGAACCCATGAATAGCTAGAAATTCAACTTAGGGGTCAAATTTGACAATATAGAGTATCAAATGGATTGTTTTAACACTAGTTGAGTTAATAATATATGGTTGAGATCAATATAGAGTGAAAAATGAGAATTTAAATCTATACTTTTATCAAGTATGATTTTAGTACTCTGTAATTGTAATTCTTTATAATGTTGATAAAACAAAACTATCAAACTAAAACTGAAACCAACTAGAATAGAGTGTTATTTTTCAATGAGATGCCTAAGCCGGGACAAAGGTAGCAATATATGACATTATTTATAATATAAATCTGACCTCAACTTTGAAACAAATGAGCTACTCCGTGTCTATAAACAGTTGACATCAAGTTGCTTATCTATATTTTGTTCTTTCAGCAAGGAAAATGTTGAACACAGTTGTAAATAAGACTCCATTCCTATTCAGAAATTAAATTCAAGTAGTACAGAAACTAGAGTAAGATTGCCTAGATGTCTAATTCCTGCAAGATCTAGCAATACCAAATGACATCACTAACAAACAAAAAATTACTCAGTAGTAAGCACACTCAGGTCCAATTGTGACTAGTGTATCTTCAATATAATTATTTCACAACCGGGCCAAATTCTTCAATTGTCTTGGCTGCAAGTGTAAGAACGTCTACTAAAGAACTATATGATGCGCGAAGAAATCTAGCTTCAGTAGCCTCAAAATGCCTGCAGACATGAAAGAACACATAGGAAGATAAGTTCAACACCAGCAATATAGATTTATCATTCTAAGATGAGATCAAATAGCTTAGAAATTATGTTCCAATCATTTCCTAGCATTTAGGTGTCAATTTGGAACATGCATGTTCTGTGTTTGCTGCTTTTGTTTTCTGAAACCATCATTGGTTACATTTGACAAAGTGTGTTCATGACTTCATGTTCCGTTCCAAAATACTTGTTCCACTTTCCTTTTTAGTCTGTTTCAAAATACTTGTCTCACTTCCTTTTCCTGGAAATGGACCTACCCAGCATACAACTATAATACAGAGTACACCTTAATAAAGTTCACAAGTACTGCTACCGTGCCAAACCTCCGCTTTTTCATACAAACACTTGCATAAACTACATGAACATGTATTTTGAAATGGGGGGGGGAGTAATTTTCGAAAACATATTTCATATGAACACCTTCCATTTTATAAAATAATATTCTTCCATTAAAAATAAATAAAACTGCACCTACAAAACATACATGTCAAGTATGTTTTATAGTATGAAAGCTTGGATTCAAGACATAATGAAAAAATACCAACTCTTTTAAACAGATACTATAAAAACACAGGATAGAATTCATTATAAAAAGAAATCATGATATGCAACATGAATGATGACTGCAGACAGTGTCTTTCAACAAAGTCATGAGCAAGTTAAGTTGTTTATGCCAAACTTGGAGTACAGAATAAATAATCTAAACGAATACCAGAAATAACTAAGATTGATACCATCTTTGTGTGAAAAATTCAACAGTTAAAAAAATTGAAAGTTAAAAAATTGAAAATTTGGTAACTAAGAATGCTGCTATTTTATAGAATTAAAAATAGAAAATTATTAAGTTGGATATCCATTGAAAATTCTTGGCACCAAATATCAATGGCAATAGAAAGTCAATAAGTTCAGATGATGTAAAAGATGAGCTTTAAAAGTTATGCAAATATGCCGGTAATCTGGTATGGTAATACAAATGGATTATTAAGCGATTCCTTCAATATATAGGGTTTTACAGCAAAGGAGTAAAATCCGAAACGGCGATACTCACACTAGTAGCTTCCCCTCTGAAGCTGACATCAGCCTTTTTACCTTATCAGGCTGCAACTGCAATTGATATTAAAATGGAATTGAATGTAATATCATAATTTAATTGAAATTTAAAATTATGAAGAAAAATATATGTAGTCGTTATTTGGAAGTTGAACCCTACCTCCTTATCAACACACAAAGCCGTATAGATGATTTGGGCCTTTTCTTGACATCCTAAATTTACTTCCAAGTCGCTATGCACACAACAAAAACTCATAAGCTCATAGTCTTAACAAACAAGAATAGAACTCCTGCAAATCTACAACCAATCCTTAAAACTAATTCATGGAACATGAATGAAATTGACAAAAAATGATTAAAAGTTTGCTGCGAGCAAATCAAGAAAAACTAAGACAATCAAAAGTGCAAAAAAGGCAGGAACTTTTCGATAAATGAACAAATAGCAAAATCAACGTTTACAATACAAATTTGATTTTGAAACCGTTAGCAAATATTTCAAATAGGGATAGAAGTGATAGCGAACTTACCAGGTGAAGTCCCACGACATTTGGATACCCATTTCCACCGCCATGACTGAACAAAAAATAGGTCTCAGATCACTTCTATCAAGACTCTATTTTGAATTCAAGGTTTAAGCATGTTTTCTTTTAGACTGTTTCCAGTCCTAGACTAGATTTAAACAGACTAGACCAGACCAGATTTAAAAAGTTATAGAATACACAGAGACCAGACATTCACCAGACCAGACATTCACCAGACCAGACTAGACCAAATTTAAAAAGACCAGACC